CCTCACTTTGATTCTAAGCCATGGTTTGATTGTCTCATTTGCTCCCCTGTTTTTGTCTGTATTTAGGAAAATACCCATCAGATAGAAAGAGAAGAGCAAAATCAGTGCACAGAAGTACAACTAGATTTCTTTCTTTATTGACACAGATTACTACTACTTAAACACATACAGCCTTCTGAGTTTTCAGTATGAAAGTAATTTTTGCTAGAAAACATTCTTTTAAACCAAACCACCATTTCACCAAATAACCTTCCAATGTATGAACATTTTTCCAGATTACCTCAAAGAGTCGTATCTTCCAACAACACTAGCGTGTCTGCATTTTTGAAGCTAACTAGCATTAGCACAGTTTCTATTAGCTGATGGCCGATAAATGTTGTTAAAAATAGCATGCTCCTACAGCAATACCAACATCGTAAACATACTTACAAAACGTCAAATAGCTCTTAATATCTAAAAATCTGCTTTCCTGTATGTGTTTTTTTTATTTTTTTTTAGCTTTGACAGAGAATTCTTGAACGTCAAAAGCTTGTGGTTTTTCGGTTGGCACAAAACACAGCGCATTCACCATGAATCATTCTTGGAGCCAACAACATTAAAGAGTTCTTTTAAATAAGGCCACGGATGGGGAATGCTTTGTCTCTCTGGATCTGCTTCATCGTCGTTTGCACCACTGTCTATGTCCATGCTGCTCACTGCTGTTAGTGGAAAGTGTTGCGCTTCTGTGTGCCGTCACCCGCCTGGTTTTATATGGCTTTTTACGTCACGTTGTCATGGATATGCGTGGTAGAAGTAACGAAGTGGTTTTGAAAATGTAAGGAGTAGAAAGTATGGATTTTTGCATTCAAATGTAAGAAGTAAAAGTAAAAAGTCCTCACACAAATAAATAGTAAAGTGCAGATACCTGAAAAAGCTACTTAAGTACAGTAACGAAATACAAATCCTTTGTTACTTCCCACCTCTGGTCAGCAGCTTAGGGGCTGGACATCCAACAATTAAATATATTATGTAAATAAACCAAGTATTACAAAAATCTGTTACCTTAATAGTTGCTGCATTTAATCATGATTACAACATACAGAACCCTATAAAAGTAGTGATAAACAAAAACAAAAAACATCATATCCCCTATTTGACACAAATATTATTTTGACATCTCTGACTTGCCAAATTTTTAAACCAATTTTATTTTCACTTTGATAGTTTTATTTTCAACTGCTTGTCATTTTAACTGTCTTTAGTGTGCGTTAGAAATAGTTTCTACCAGCTTGTAGGCAAGATTCTGACATTTCTGTAGATACCAAACATGTCTATGTCTAACTAAAAGAACTTAAAGTAATTAACGTAGAAAACTGTGGGTTTGAGCTTTACAGATGAATGAACCAATTGGTGGACCGAATTTTGGTCTCTCGCGGGCCGGATGCGGCTCGCGGACCACCGGTTGAATAGCCCTGTCCTAAGTTCTCATCAGTCACATTTCACTGTGTAAAACGTCTGTTTTATCCCCCTTTATGAGTTTGTAATGGTATGACTGTCTTGAAGTGCTTCCTGGTACAGTC